AAAAAAAAAAAAAGAAAAAAAAAGGTCATTGTCAAATTGGGCAAAGATTAAGGGATAAATTGGTAAATTTAGATTGTATCTCAACTGTTGCATGGCAAACCAACATAGGAGTTAACTTTTATTCAAATTATATCTTACGTATAGCCATTGACAACGGCCATAAATCCATATCAATCTTCGTTGTGTAATCTTATCACCTTAAGTAACAAGAATCATATCCTATCATGGAAAATAAATGAGCCCTCAGAAAATAACCAAACAAGCTAATGAAATAGATTATATCAAATGGATAAATTGGAGGTAAGGCCCTATAAGGGCCCAAAATAGTTCTTTATATTTATGAACTGGGCCCAATCAGTAGTTTATCTAGAAAATGCTAAGGGCGTGATTGTGTATAAGTTGTACACTAAATATCCCACTCAAAATTCAAATTTAACCAAACTTTAACTCAACTTTACTATCTCCAATATTATCAATATAATTAAATAATATCTAACCAATCATTATTGCACATCACAACAACTTTAATTCACTATTCACCCATTCACATAATTTTAACTAACTATAACTTCCAATTATTTTCTTCTACTTTTACATCAAATCAACTTTAACTATTTTAATTTAAATACTATTTTAATATATCCAATAACAACTAACCATACTATTTTTTTTCAAACTTAACTATAATTAAAAAAAACTAGTTTTTTACTAGTTGAATTCATATCCAATCACCTCCTAAAGACTCCACAATCCCACACCGTAAACTAGATATTACATTGCAACTATTGATATGATGATTGTACCATCTACCATATACAAGCTTCCAACTGAGCCCTTAGGCCGCACTAACTAGCGCCCGTTTGACGGTTTTTAACCGTTTAGAACTCCAACAGTTCCATACGTCTAACCGAACCAAGATCTTGGCCGATTCTCGGTCGAACCGGCTGGTCTGGTCCGATCCAGTTTTCAGAACATTGTTTCTAGTATTTAATAATTATTTGTTATTTATATTTATGTCTTAGTGAACAAGTTATGTCTAAGTGTTAGGAATCAATTGGGAAGTTGATAATTGAGTGTACGCTTCCCTACGTCACCCTCTCTCCATCGATCGGCACTTCCATCTTTTACAAACTGAGGTTCCAATGAATTTTGGCTAAATTTCTGTAAAACATTGTCCAAAATCGACATCTAAGTCCTATTTAGGTTCCGCGTATATATTATTATGGTTAATTCATGATTCTGATTTTATTTATTGCAGGAGCGGTCATATGATTAATCGTAAATTTAAACGGTGCCAGGCTTTTTTACTTCTCCGGTTAATCAGAGCGAAAATGCGGCTAACCAGGAGTAGCAAACGGAAATTGATGAGGTGAGCGACTTCTTCTAATTCGTATTGTTATTATTATTTGCTTCAGTTGATAAAAAGCTTCTGAAGCTACTTTGCCCTACACCACCATTTTTTCGTTTTCT